GGCCCTCCTGAGCACTGTGGCCCTCTGCGAGCACACAGTGGCTGACAGCCCCACCACACTCTCAGACGTCCAAAGGTCAGCCCTAAATCGAGCCTCGGCATTCAAGAAGGTTCAAAACGTCTGTGTGCGCGTCTGTGGGCATTTTTCATAGACACTTCATGTGAAGAAATCCAAGAGCCTGATAAAATCATCCAAGTAGGCAAGTGGAAGATTGCAAGTCTCAAAATTGGCAAATCAGAACGTGAAACATACATCGCTTTGTAGCCGAAGACCTATGTCAGGAGAGGCAAATATAACGTTCATTTCGGTACAGTGTTAGTCCAACTCTACAAATAGATACTATTAATACCCAAAGGCAGAAACACTGCGACACACAGAACAGGAGAAGGAAGCCCAGGGCCTCTCCTCCCCAGCAGTCCTGCCCGCACTGCTAAGGCCAGAGTTCCCCCCCCCCGGCAAGCGCCCTAAAGTGCCTCTCTGACCGCCTCTATCCCCAGCTTATCCTTCTATCGCTTCATCTCGCTTTGCTTTCCCCAAAGCCACTCACAGGAGATGGCATTTTTTTATTTCTTTATGTGTTTTGGATGCTGCCAATAATAAAAATGTAAACTCCCTGAAAATGCCAACTGCATGCATCTGGTTTCCCAGCAGCCCGAATACTGCGCACAGTAGGCGCTCCACAGACTTATGCGCGTGGCTTGCGAGTAGAGCAGTTGAAGAGTCCTCTTGTCTATATTTTGAGTTGCTGAATATGTTAATAATAAACATACATTGCTCTTGTAAGCTTATTTAAAATAAGAGTAAATTCCTCACCCCAAAAAGATAAGTGGAGTGGCTGAGGTATTCACTAGTGGAATCTCTCACTTTACAACCTACATGTATCTGGACATCACCGCATACACCCTGGGCTGGGGAGATAGCTCGGTGTAATAAGCACCTGCCGGGCAAGCGCAAGGTCCTGCGTTTGATCCCCGTTCCAAAAAAAAAAAAAAAAAGTATACACCCTAAATATAAGACGTCTGTTTATAGATTATCTCTTAGTAAACATTTATAGATCATCTCGAAGCTATGGGAAAAAAACAAAGAAATCTTAACAAAAATAACACAATTATGATAAATATTTAGAAATGAAAATGAAGTATATGTATTTGGAAACAAAAACCTCATACAGAAGTGCTTTATGAAAATACATATTCCTTCCATTTCCTAATTAAACCCCTGGTAGCAAATTAAAGCTTGAAAGTCCTCATAAAACAAAGGGAGAGAAAAAAAAAAAAAAAAAGAATGGAAGGGGCGGTACCCGTGTCCAGGGTCCGGCCCAGAAGACTGAAAGCCCCTTGCACTGCAAGCCCTTGGGATGGTGCTTGCAGTTTGTGCAGCATCAGGCATGTGTTCACTTGGCCAACTGGATCCACTGTTCAGCTGGAGCTAAGAACTTACATGCTGCAGGAGAAAAATGCTGATGAAAATAATTTTTGTATGAGTTTCCTTTCTCCTTGTCCGCCTACCCTCTTTGTTATGCTAACTTGCTTTATTTCTGTGCTCCTGACCCAGAGTGCATGACTAAAATGGCAAGGTTTTCTTTTCTTGCTTAGATAATTTTTTTTTAAATCACACTATGCTGTAATATGCTATGAAGATCAAATATGATAAAGGGTTTTTTTAATTATTCAACATGATGCAAGCATTGGTTGGCACTTGATGGGTATTTTCAAGTCTGCTCCCCACATAAATACAGAAAGTTGGTCACGGGAGACCCTTTCAAAGGAAGTCTCCCTGGGCCTAATTTTATCTTATTCCCAAATCTCCCATGCTAGATGTGGTTAAAGAAGTAAACAAAAGACATTGTATAGCTTTACAAACCACTAGGTCAGGCTTTTACAAACTCCATAAAGCAAAACTTGCACTACTGTCACTCTTGTTTGGATTGACAGAGTTAAAAGATACTTGCCCAGATTAAGACAAATTATAGCACCTAGTTTAGAGCTGGTTTAAATGAAGAATGAGGGTCACTGTCTGAATCGGCCCTGCACAGTGTTTTGAGAGCCGAAGCTCATGAGGCCTCCCACCACACATTCTGTAGCTACCATTCGAATCTTTCCAGCACCAAATGTTTCCAGAGAATAGCTGGGCTCTGAAATAAAAATGAGCATTCCAGAAGTGCTTTGTTACTTATAACAAATGCCAAGAAATGAGAAATGCAATGGCAAGCTATCCACATGTACAAGTTATGTGAACATGTATTTTTTTTTAATTCCCCAGTGTGATTATTTGGCATTGACCAAAGTTAAGTGACAGTTTTTCAGGATTCATTTTATTTCAGAAAGTAAACATGACTGGCAACCTGTGATGAAGATAGCAAGCTAACTCTTTGTGTTCTTCACCCTAGCTCAGATAGGAATGTTGCCTGTTCCTACCATGGTAGGGACTGATGATCCGCAGACTCCAGGAGGTGGGGTCCGTAGGCCACATGTGGTCTCCCATGCAGGAGGGAACAGAGCAGCCAGTAAAATTAGCTTCCAAATTACTCTGTAAAATGATTCCCATTTCTTTTTTCATATAAAAAACATGCTCTTTTTATAAGAAACTCAAGACTTTTGTGACCCTGCAGCAGAGATGCTTCTTGTGCAATACCCAAGCTTTACATTTTGTCCCTGGCTGGTACACAGCCCTCTGCTCTTCTCCCTCTCATACTGAAATCTCCAGGCCTTTGGCTTGAGAGTGTCTGTTGGCTTGCTTTCCCTTGGCCTACAAAGCTGCGCCAGGCTACCAAGACATGCCTTCATAAAACACGAAGGTGGGAACGAGCTCCTCACTGAAACAGTGCTGAATTAGAGGTTTCAAGCAATGTGAAAAGAACAGAAATCCCCACTTCATATTTACACAAGTTTAAAATTCCATACAGCCATGTGTATTTGAAACATCTTACAATTACAAGCTTGAATTTAGGGTCTGGAAGCTGGCTCTGTAACCTCCCTACTTGGTGTGCTTCTCCAGATGCTCCTGAGTTGCCAAAAACAAGGTTGCTGCGCTTAGTAGGCTGAGCCCTCAGTGCTGTCACACGGAGAGAGCCCTGCCACAAGAGCACGCCGCGGAGCGGGCGCGAGGCAAGATTCACTCCCACCACTTCGCCACTCCAAGCTTTAGTTTCGCAGCTCAGATGCACATTTTGTAGCAAGCTTTTAGTGCTTAGATGATGCATTTATATTCTATATCCATGTTCTTTCCCAAATTAATTCTATTGTTTCTTCTAATTCTCCTGTCATTATTGTAAAAACCATGTTAACAGCTATGTCTTGCTTGTTTATGAGCTAAAGCACTTTGAATTTTAACCTTCCTCTAACACCTAAAATAAGCCTTCAGGCTACTTCTGCTTCCTGAATTAATTTCAGTCTACGAAATAAGATATAAGACCTTTAAGTCATGTTAATTAGCTAAATCTTCGGCAGGGTTCTGAAAGAAATTAGAAGGGCAGAGACATAAAAAGTGTAGATAAGTGAACCTAACAATCTGTCAAAGTGAAGGACGTCATCCAGTCTTGATGTAAGGTTGTCCTCTTCTCAAGCCATGACTGATGCATTTGTTCCTCACTGTCTGCCCAAAACAGCCCATGACAACCTAGCCAAAATACTTGGGAGGCCTGAAGGGTATAAGCCCACCAAATGGACACCTCTGGCTTGGCTTTCAGGGGCATCCACAGCCAACCACAACCTTCTTTCAGTTCATCTCAAGCCACATATGGGGGACACATTGTATTTAAAACAATGCCCTAGGCATTTAGGAAGAAAGATGAGCAAGCCCCGGGATGGTGCCAAGAACTGCACAGCTAGCTGTGGAATACTAACTGCTTCACTTCCGTAAGTACAAAGAAAGGGCCACATGATTGCAGAAGCTGAGCAGGCCTTCCAGGGGTGTCCCTAAGGACCCTACCAGGAGAGACAGCAGGGAGAGTTAAGAGAGTTACCAAGTGAAGAGAACCATGTCCAAAGGAATAGAGAGAGAAAGTGTTCTTGTCTGGAAGTCATAGATAATCAAATTTGGCAGACTGGGGTGAAAACAAGAAAGTAGATGAAAAATAAAAAGAGGAATAGGTTTCAGCCTAAATATGAGAAGATTTTTTTAACAAAAGAAATAGTTAATCCTTAATTAACATTTCCAAATGCAACATGCCCAGACCAAAACCCTTTGTCCACAAACCCTACAGGCCTCAGCTGATGGCATCCCTAGCCTCAAGTAGAAACGCACAGGTCATCTTTCCCTCATCTTCCTCCCGAAGGCTCTGTCATGCACAACACAGAAACGGCCTCCACCTTGGCCTGCCAGTCAACCTGTTATTTTTTTAAGAGTATGAGGACTCTGGCTCCTATTGAGATTTCTACAAGAGGCTCTGGACAAACCACTACTTCCACGACAATGCCGCACTCCTAGTAGGGGCATCACTGCAGGACACTGCTCACTCGCACTAGCTGAGAACATCCCAAGGGTTACCTGCCACCTACAAGAAAAGTGCAGACACCGGTAGGATTTATGAAGCAATCAATGACTCCTGACTAAACTGTCACCTTCACCCTCTATTTCTATGGTTTGCCACAAGCTACTTGGGCTTAGAGCAGAAGACATCTGCAGCTCCAACGTCGAATGCCTCTCCCCGCTCAGCGCTGCTGCATGTCGTTCGTTACAGCGTCATATAACTAACCACTGACAGACTGCCTCCTCAGCTGCACTGTAGCACAGCCTCAAAGGCTGCTTTTGCCAAAAGCAGTGACTCTTCACTGGAGCCTGCTGATGTCAGATGAGAGACTAAAAGCTCGCATCTCTGCCTTATTTCTATACCTGCCTCCTTTCTTACCTGAAACTTTGGGTCAGATTCCTCCTCAGCCCTGCAATGTAGATACATTGATCACTCAAGGAGTGTCTGTCTAAAAGTATGGGGCTGGTTATCCCTAGCCTTATCTATCCTCCTTTCTCCTGCTTTGAGACTGAAGACACCAAGGATAAAATACTTTCAAGATTCCAAAAACAGTGAGCCTTGCAGGCAGTTTCCCTGAGAGGAGTATCAGCCCCACCACCACCAGAAGTGGGAGCAATTACCCTACCACAGGAATGCAAGTTGATTTTGGAGGGAAAAACCAAGCCCAAATGGCTACACTCACACTTCAGGCTATGGAGGGGTGGCTTCCAGGCAACCCTAAGTGCTGAGCCAGCAAACGCACACAGCCACGCCTCACCATCTCTGTGTAAATGACTCACAGAACTAAGGTCAGTGTTGGCACAGAGCTACTACTGTGGCCTGACTGCTGCAG